AAAAAAAAAAAAAAAAAAAAAATGACACGTCATATCTTTGACTTTTATCCATTATTTTTGTGTTCCATTACTATTTAATTTCTAGCTTAAATCTGATTTAAATAATTAATTATAAGCTTTAATTTTTTTTAATATTTTCCCTCATATTTTTCAACTCAATTAAAAAAAAAAAACAAAAATAGAAAGTGCTGTTTCTAATCCTAGCTTCACATGTCTTGTCTGGTTCGATATAACATAAAAATTTCGTAAGTGTTTTATTAATTTACCATATATTATTTGAATTATGGAAAATATTTTTTTTAATAGGTTTGAATCTCGGATCTTGAGATCAATATTAACATAAAATTTTAATCAATTAAGTTATAATATAATTTTTCGTTGATATATTTTTAATAATATATATTATTGATGACGATAACGACATATTGAATTTATTAAATTAATATGAACCAATGAATTGAATCGAGTATTTGAATGATAATAATAATGGCACAATTACCCAACTTGACCTCCATCACATTGTTGTTGCCCATACGAAATAGTCAAAAGCGACATTTCCAACTTGTCCCAAAGGGAATTAATTTTCTCGTGTCAACGTCTTTTAACACACAAAAAAAAATAAAAAAATAAAAAAATAAATATATATATATATAGAGAGAGGCATGTATAAGGCTACAATATAGTTTTATTCTTATTGTATTTATTAAATCTATTTTGTCCCCTATTTGTTTATTTCAATTTAATTAATATATAGATTAAAACAGGTTATGTTTTGTCTTTACTCACATATTTTATTGTACAATTCTCAAGTGGTCATGCTTAACATTGAAGTTTTTATGATTAAACCGAGTACACTTTATTGGTATAAGTAGTAATTATTAATTCTTGTAAGTATTTATTTACCATCATATTCTCAAAACCACTCGTTGTCATTTGAATATGCTATCAGTTCATTTATGTATCTCTCATTTACTCGTGTGTTACTATGAGATTCCACATCGGTTGGATAGAGGAACGAAACATTGCTTAAAAGGGTATAGAAACCTCTCTCTAGTAGATGCGTTTTAAAATTATAAGACTGATGATGATTCGTAACGAGCTAAAATAGACAATATCTATTAGTGGTGGTCTTGAGCCATTACGGTCACACTAACAATGCTATTTCTTTTCAAATTCACGATCATTTTCAAAGAGACGAGACAAAAAAAAAAATAAAATTGTTTGAAACGGATGATTTAAGAAATTTAAGTGATGATATGCATAGAGGTCACCAATACAATGCCAGCTTCGTACGTCTTTGAGTTGGTGATGAAAGCAAAGCAAAGGCTTTCATTGGGGGCTTCGTTGTCCTATTCTATGTTGCATATTTCATTCTTCGAGGTTTGATTCCTTTGGATGGTACCTATCACTATCATCATACTCTAAATAGTGTTCTCCTCTTCTACTTACTTTCTTTGTTTAATCTTTTTAATACCACACTTATCAAAAGGAGTACGTTCGGTATATTCATAATTACTCATGTGATAAATAAATGGTATCAGTGTCAGATACTATGCGGTGTGCCAATGAGGTCGCTGACTCCTAAAGAGGTAGATTGTGAGATCTCATTTCGGTTGGAGAAGAGAACGAAACATTTCTCGTATGGGTGTAAAAATCTCTCCCTAATAGATGCGTTTTAAGACTGTGAGGCTAATGATGACACGTAACGGATTAAAGCAGACAATATCGGCTAGCGGTGTATTTGGGCTCAATATATCTATTTTTTTCAATAAAAGAAAATTCACATAAAATCATTCCATTAGTGATTTCATAAGAAAGTTAGGAAAAAAAGCCCATTAGTTATTTTAATGGGCTATGTTAAGAAACAAAAAGAAGGCCCATCAGATTTAGGCCTTTTTAGAGAGAAATGATAGGCCCATTAGTTATTTTAATGGGCTATGTTAAGAAACAAAAAGAAGGCCCATCATATTTAGGCTTTTTTAGAGAGAAATGATAGGCCCATTAGTTATTTTAATGGGCTATGCTAAGAAACAAAAAGAAGGCCCATCAGACTAGGCCTTTTTAGAGAGAAATGATAGGCCCAATAATCATATTTAATTGGAAATTATTGTAAACAATTAGAAGCCTTAGTAGTCTAATCCAAGTATAAATCCATAACTTATCATAAATTTTAAAATACTTTTTTACATATATTTATTATAACTTATCCAATTTCATAATTATTTTTTTAGATTATTTATTCTATTTAATTATTCTTAAAAATAAAATTTCAAGTTTTAGAATATAATTTTTATAAAAAATAATATAGAAATTGAGTTTTATTATTATTATTATTCTAAAACGTTTTTAAGCTTAGAAAATGCATGTTTAAAATACACTTCAATAAAAAAAAGTCATCCGATCAAGCATATAATAATTTTTAAATATTCAAACTATATAAAAAAAATACAATTTATTTGACCATAACAAAAAAAAAAAAAAAAAAAAAAA